ACTTACTGTGACGAAAGTGTGACTTAGATCTGGAATAATAAAAGAGAAAAATGTGAATAAACGGTTAAAGACATGTGTGAAGACGCAGATTAGAAAGATGGCGGGTCAAATAAAGTTACTGGCTCGAAAGGAGGATATATGAGGACGACGAAGGGTCAGATCTGCAACAAACGATAAAGAAAACCATAAATAAGTGAGAAACAGATGAAAATGATATCTAAAGTACAGATTAGAGAGGAGGATGAGTTATAAAAAATAAAGAACAAATACTTACTCCTTCAAGAATCGGCAACAATGGAGGAGAGGCGGCGGAGGTAAAAAGCATCGACCGCCGTTTGAGAGAGRGAGAGAGTGAAAGTTTTTTTAACAAAAAAATTAGGGTTACGAAAAGTATGAGTTTATATAGACAGGTAAAAAAATTCGGTTAGGTTAAACTTTTCGGTTAAGTAGACTTCAAACGAAGTCTACAAACGAAGTCTACAAACAAAGTCTACGAAGCCCTAAACTCTAAACCCTAAATGTAAACTTCTCTAGAAGTCTACCAAAAACCTAGACCAACTATTTTCGATGGATTATCTAAAATCCTAAATAAAAACTTATATGAAACATTCAAAAAGTTTAATATATTCACAAATTAACACTTTTATTCAAATTTGACATTTTAAATATAAAAATTATAAACCTCTAACCCTAAATGTAAGAACATGTAACCCTAAATGTAAAAACATGTTTCCAACTTATAATATCAAACTATTGCCCATATTTGTAACTCCAAATATAACATACATACCTTCAAATTTAACATCCATAAAATCCTAAACCACACACACCTCCAAATTTACCATCCACAAAACCCTAAACTATAAAACCTTAAACCATCAAACCCTAAACTATAATCTATAAAAAATTATTCACTTTAAACCCTAAATCCATACATATAAAAGGCCCCAAATATAAACCCCTCAATCTAAGCCATTACAACATAAACTCATGAAACTATAAATTTCAAACAAAAATAACTACCAACATATCACTACATCAATATCAAAACATATGTTTAGTTTTCAAAACTCATTTATCTTTGTTTTTATAATTTGTGAAATTTTGTGAAATTTTATTTTTTATACTTCACAATTTCTTATAGTATGGTCATGAATACAAAATTTTAATCAAACTAATTTTTGTTAATTTATAAATTTAAATTTCATATRTAATTAGTAAGTARAYTTCAATTGAARTCTASWGGTATGGTATTTATAACCTAATATATCTTTGTWACTTTAATTTATGAAATTTTGTGAAATTTTWATTTTTATACTTCACAATTATTTATAYTTTGGTCATGAATACAAATGTTCAATCAAACTATTTTTTGTTAATTTATAAATTTAAATTTCATATATAATTAGTAGGTAGACTTCCATTGAAGTCTACAAAATATCTAAAGTTGACTTCAATTGAAGTCTACTAATGGAGTAGACTTCTTTATTACAGAGTAGACTTCTCGGAAGGTTAAAACGGTAATTGTGGCATTCATTTTTTTATTTGGTCATAAGGGGTGTAATTGTAATTTCACTATCCGTTTGGGGTACTTTTGCCAAACATGAGATAAGGGGTCTACTTTTGCATTTAAAATGAAATTGTATGTCATTTTAGCTATTTCCCCTTTTATTTATCAAAATTTATGATTATATATTCTAATATTTTAGAATATTAAATAATTTATTTATATTCTAAATTCTACTTAAGGTATTCAGATAAGCCAAATTTAACATAATTTATACTTTATATTCTAAATGTACATATTTATTTAACAAATAGTACTCTTGAAACTATTGTTCTGAATAATTTCTATTTTATAGTAAATTTCATATTTTATATATAAAGTTATAAGCAAATAATAAAATATCAGTGTGAATATTTTTACAATTTACGTAAAATTAAAAATAATAATGTTT